ACATATGGCTAGCCAGTTTTCCCAGCACCATTTATTAAATAGGGAATCCTTTCCCCATTTCTTGTTTTTGTCAGGTTTGTCAAAGATCAGATGTTTGTTTCTTCAACATAAATGATAATTTCATTTCTTTTGATGCCCCAGTTTTCTTTTTGTTGTATGATAATTCTGCAGGGATTATTCTGACTAGAAACCCTCTGAAAAATATGCCATTGTTTACAGGTGCTCTGAGATAGGTTTGTAATCACAGAGACTGAACCAGAGCACCTTTTATCAAAAGCAACTGGGCAAAAGCTAATATCACTTTCCTTCACACAGTTAAGATGCAGTCTTCCTAGTTTCAAATATAGGCCATTGCAGAAGCTGCTGGCTGCTTTAATAACCTTCATTTCGCTATTTAGAAATGAAATGTGGGATAGATTGGTGGTAAGGTGAGTCTTCTTTTTAGAGAGATTGTAAACCTGTCCTCATTTTTTTTCCTGCTTCCTGATTATCATGAACTTGTTCCTAGTTACAAGAACCTCTGAAATCGCTGGTTCCTTGGTAACTCTGTTTGCTTTCCTTTGGCAAGAACTCAAAATATTGGAGCTTTAAAAGCTTTGATTTGGTTACTTGGAGAAATATGTGTTGTAAGTCAGATTATTTTGCTTGTTAATTTTTGAATTATTGCATATAAAATGCCACATAGTAATTTTGTTAATTTATACACAGTTAATGTTGTGTGAATTCCATTATGTATTTCATACAATATATGGAATATTCTTAGAAACCATGCAAAGTCAGAGGCCTTTGTTAACATTTGCCTTGTGGCTGGACTTGTGACTAACTTGGATTAGAGCCTGGCTTTTCAAATGCCTATCTTCAGTAAATGCTTTCATCTCATATGCTTCTGTTTGGTTTCCTTGGCTTCTTTAAAGTGATTTTTAAAACTTTAGCTGCCTTCTTGTAAGCATAAAGTAAAAGAGGAAAACTTTTTTTTGTTTTTCATAAGATCATTTTCATAGAAAACAAGATTGTGTATAGCCATGCACCAGCTTCAGGATTAAATAGCTTATAAGAGTTGGGGGAATAACCAGCCCTGGAATTTAGAGTACTGACAGTCAGCTCTGGAGAAGTGAGGACCTCCATTTGAGAAGATCACCACTGTTATATGGGCTACAGTACAAAAAGTTTAACTTTTACTGTATTAACAGTGGGGCAGGATTTTCCTTGCATGTGTGTGTGCATACCTTCATGAGGTATTTATTACTTACATGAGAATGAATTGGACTTTATTTGACCTTTTGCTAAATGTTACCAGTAACTATAGCTCTTGTAGCTGACATGTTATTATTGCTGTAAGGTGCTTTCAATTTTAAATGCTTGTAAATTTATAGGATTCGTTGTCCTTCTCATCTGAAACTGTTTTGAATTTCCTTTGAGTACAGCATTGTATTCCCAGCTGCATACAGCCCTAGTTGCCGTTGCCTCTTCTCTCTTGTCTCTGCCACTGACTTCCCTGTGTTATATGTGTGTACATGTACACATGCATGTGCATGCATTTGCTTAACTTTTTTTTTCCTTTTTAAACTCCTCTATCTTCTTTCCTTAACGCATTTTGGAACTTTTGGGCACTATCTTCTGGATATTAATCCTGTTACAAGTGTGAACACGAGGGGAAAATATGTGCAGTGCCATGGTTAAGGGAGTGATGAAAGGACATGGATTTATAGGCTGGAGCAATGGTTCTGATGCTTGAGTGGGCTTTATAATCTCCTGGAGGTTTAGTTGAGCACAGATTGATGGACCCTACCCACGGAGCTTCTGATTCTGTCGGTCTGGGGTTAATACCTGAGAATTTGCATTTCTACCAAGTTTCCAGGTGATACAGATGCTGCTGGTCCAGGAACACACATTGAGAACCGCTGGACTGGAAAATAGAAGCTCATCAGTTAACCCACTTTTTCTCCTCACTCTTCTACCTAGCACAGAATTCAGATTGCCTTTCTTTCCTTAATTCTGCTTGAATTATAACACATAAACATCTGTTTAAAAGCAAGCTAGTTTAATGTAATTAAAATAACATTGCCAATGAAAGTGGGCCTGTTACATTTTAGCATAAAACTGAAAACTAGTCTGTTTAGTAATTAGCTTCATTATCTTTTCATTAGAAAAGAGAAAAATCTCAATCCCTAATTTTTTAATGTTTCTCATTGTAATAATTAATTATATTTTAATTATTAATCTTCACTTATATTTTTAGTACTAGATTTCAATGTTTTTTACCTTATACCTTCAACTTTAATTGCTGAGTTAAATGTACTTTAGAAATAACGAAGAAAATTTTTTAAAGGAACAAACACTACATTTCAAGAAAATAGTGTTAGTAGAATCTGTCTACCTCAGGAATGAAATTGCCTGCAGACAGTTTTCTAAAAAGTGGCCAGTAACCAACAGTAAAGCTTCTTGAAGATATACTTACAATTTTTAAGTGTTCCTTTTAAAATAAAATTGCATTAGGAAACTTGCTTACTTGAAAGATACATTGTGTTTACCTATACTGATGTTGGTTATAATTCTCTAGATAAACAGGTAAATTTACCAGTGTCATGTTAGGGTGTGAGGTGAATATATAATTTACCAGAATTCGTTTTAATTTTTACTTTTTTTTTTTTTATTATACTTTAAGTTCTAGGGTACATGTACATAACATGTAGGTTTGTTACATATGTATACTTGTGCCACGTTGGCGTGCTGCACCCATCAACTCGTCATTTACATCAGGTATAACTCCTAATGCAATCCCTCTCCCCTCCCCTTCCCCATGATAGGCCCCAGTGTATGATGTTCCCCTTCCCGAGTCCACGTGATCTCATTGTTCAGTTCCCACCTATGAGTGAGAACATGCGGTGTTTGGTTTTCTGTT